CTGATTGTTCCCTAGGCAGAATCTCTTCTTCCCATCTCCCAAAGTCATTCCCACATACCATTACAATTCCTAACTGCACAAATCTACACTGCTGCCTTTTCTTTAGGACATCATTCTCGTACCCAGTGCACAATATTTTTATTGAATAGTGAATAGAACAGGAATCTCATATGTCACTAGAAAGGAAAGCAACAAGAAAATTTAAATGGGGTTGCTAGAAAAAACACAAATGACAATAGCAGCACTACTTTTCCATTGAAACATTCCCATTAAAAATACTTAAAATGTTGCAATTGCATGTTGCACCCCAAAACTTACCAAGTTCTGCTAAATTTCCAAACGCAACAAGGCACATTTCAGTCAAAGCCGAATTTTGGCAATGAATGCCCAACAATTTCACTAATGTAGGGATAACTCCCATGTTGATGAGCTGAGATTGCAGGGTATCTAAACACAAAAAGACAAATAAAAAGACAAACACCCTTAAGTTAGAGTTTCACTTTGCAATGTCACCTCCAATAACTGGCTCCTTAATTATTGTCCAGTATCAGCAACATGGCATGGAGGCAACTGCAACTGTACAACACTATTATTTATCTTCCTTGTTCTTCAGATGCCTGTTTAGAATTCAGAGCTATCATGGAAAGAAAGTAGTTCTGTGCTTGAGAGAAACTACCTCTTAGCATTTTTACCCAATAAACTTTATGATACTTTTGTATAGTGTTAATTACATAGTGAAGAATGTCCCCAAGTCCTGGAAAAGGTAGTTTATGGAGGTGTCCTTGCCTTTTATTACAAAAGTACAATTATTGTGGTTATTTTGGAAATACTTTTCATTCTAGAGCCCCAGGCAACAGATTTATTAACAAGTAGGTAAGTAGGATTTTTTACTCTCAACAATCCACCAGTTTCTGCACACTCGAGTTTCTAAGCATTGTATACTAACACTGGATTGGGTCTAGATTTAGCTATTCTTTGAGCAGGCTCAGTGAAATCAGTGGGATAACACAAATCACCTCCTACTGATGTCAATATGATTATTATATAGACAACTAAATCCAACCCACAGCTTTCAATTCTTCATTTAGTTTTTAAGCTGTTATGAGTATGGATTCTGGCCCAAACTATTATTGGTGCAGATGAAAAATTTAATCCTTTGCAATTTAGATACGAGGAGAGAAGAGGAGTCTACCTCCATGTGTATACTGGAAGATAATAGAGATGAGGACTATGATCTTTTATTACCTATTTTCCAGCCAGCTGAATACCTGCATACAATATGTGGGTGACGGTGTGAAAAATCAGAGTCTTCTCTGATAGAGATGCACTTTGTTGCAAAACAAACAAAGCAAAACAAACAAACAAACAAAAACCAAGCAAGGTATGAGCTTCCAAGTGTTGGTAAACTACAACTCCTAGTGACATGAGAACTACTATTCAGCAAATTTCTATTTATGAGTCTCCAAATCTCCTCCTAAACTATTGAAAATATATATCTCAGTATTTCAAATAACTGAATATGTCTATATTCAGCACAACTGAGTAAGAATCACATTAACCTTATGATAAAAAAGACTGTTATTCATCATGACATACTTATTGAAGAAAGCACTTTCTAATTATGTATGAGAGAGGTGGTTTAGTAAAAAATATTACCTATAGGAATATGTCAAAAACAGTCTTCCCCCACATATCTTTTGCTTAAAAAGAGTAACTGGGATTGGAAATCTGTAACTCTGAAAATAATGTTAGATTTCAGCTTGGCATATGGTCAATGGCCATGGATAGTAAGAGTGATAGGCCAAGAGTAACTGTAGGGTTGCAGTTCCCACCTCCTTCAGTAGTAAGTTAAGGAAGCAAAGGCAAAGATTTTTACGGGGAAATAAGCAATCACTACACAAATTTCAAGATACTAAAAAGACAGTTCATCAAAGAATGGAAGATGCAAGAAAAATTCTATACTGTATCTAAGGGGTGATGCTACCTGATAGGCCAAGAGTAACTGTAGGGTTGCAGTTCCCACCTCCTTCAGTAGTAAGTTAAGGAAGCAAAGGCAAAGATTTTTACGGGGAAATAAGCAATCACTACACAAATTTCAAGATACTAAAAAGAAAGTTCATCAAAGAATGGAAGATGCAAGAAAAATTCTATACTGTATCTAAGGGGTGATGCTACCTTTAGGCAAACTTATAGTATTTGAAAGTATAAATATTTTTACTTCACATTTTTTGTAGATCTTAATTATCAGTTGAGATATACTACTGAGTTTTTAAAAGTTAAAACAAAGATTATAGTCCAAGATGTCTGGGCAACACCAGTTTAGGATAATACAGTTTTGCTTATTATTTTCTTATTTTAAAAAATGAACACTGTTTTATGTTGGACAACCTTACCTTTTCAATAAATAGAAATGTTGAAATGGTTACTTCTTTCTGAACCAGCTGAAAGTACAGATCTTTCCTGGACATTAAAAACAACCACCACTAACTACCTGTAATGTATAATTCCCCAAACCGGTGAGCAGCCCAAGAATCTGGAGTAGGTGTAAAATACAAGGCCTATATAGCAAATTATCTTGCTTCTGGTCTGAGTAGTCTAATACTGACAACCACAGAGCAACAGAACCTTTGAAAAACTTGAGGAGCAAGTTAAACTCAGCAGGAACTATGCTGTTGACACCCATCTTAGATTGCCCTTAGATCAGCCTAATTCAGACACTTATCTGAGATAAAGATAAAAGGAATTTGCCTTTTTTTAAAGCAGGCTATTTAGCCCATTAATCCCTTATTATTTATTCTGGCTGATGGAAGCTTTCTATAGATGGATCCATACAACTCACAGTAAGTCCCACAATTCAGTGAGCTTACCTCTGAGAAGGCATATACAAACTGCATTGTAAAATAACTTGGATTCATATTATATGCTCATTTTAAATTACCTGGATTAAGAAGAGTAATTCTTTTACTTAATGAAATGGATAGCAATTACAGTTTTTGCCAACAGCAGCAAATTACATCATGTTCCAGAGAATCAAAATGAAAGGCCACTCAACTGGGATTATTTATGAGTAGGACTTCCAAGGACCTTACCATTATGAAGCTGACAAAGTAAAATTTTAGGCAAGGACATAATCCCCATAGTATATATTTTAAAGATAACTGTATTTCGACTGTACATGTGTAGGTAAGTCAAATCCATTCTCCTTTAACTTGAAACCCTTCCTGCAAATTTGGGACCATAAATTATGGTTCTATGATAAAGAACAAAATGGCAGAAAACATAATGTAGAGCAAGCAGGATGAATAAGGAATTCATATTAACGTAGTTTTCATACCGCAAGGAAAGGCAATTCACAATTTGCAGGCATGGGGAGAGGGGAGAGAGGGGGGAATGAAACTTGTGTCACAATGTTGTGGTGCAAACTTTACCCTCACGCATTCATATGCAATGCCACAATGCGTGTGTGAAAAAGCACAGCTTATATTTTTGTATCAGGATTCATGTTTCATCATTTTGGGATCATCATGTAAGAACAGTGATGCATGTTTTCTGTGATGCATGTTTTCAGGATTCTGGATTTTTGTGATTATCAGAGATCAAGAACTGTGTTACTAAAATGTTATGTCATGCCACTGAAAAATGAAAATGCAATTTTGCACTATAAAAAAAGATGGGAGCCCTTAGAAATGCATAATACATCTCAAAAGATGTCCCTAAATCCATTATTCCTCCACTCACATAGCCTCATCCATTTGTATGATAGTCATATCATGATTCATCCTCTTTGTCCCTTAGTCAGTGAAAACAAAACAATACAAGTATTTCATTTACAACCAAAGTATTGCTAAAGACTCCACTGAGTCAAGCTCAACTCCATATTTTCTCAGTAATACAGAAGCTGTTTGATATTGCTTTTTTCTAGGATTTTTAAAAACTTCCCTGTCTAGTCAACAGTATTGTGGTTTTCTAGTAGTTCTCTATACAAATACTAACTACAGTGGTACCTCGGGTTACGAATTTAATCCGTTCCGTGACTCTGGTCGCAACCCGA